GCCGAGCCCTTTGCCACGGCGCGAGCATCTCCGCCCCAGGCACTCTTGGTGTCCAGAAACGTCGACGAAGAGCGGTGTCACAAGGGAGGGAGGGAGGGGGCCCACTGCTGCGTGAGGCGACTTTGTGAGCAGAAAGTCCTTCTTCAGGCCAGGGCCGGGGCTCCCGCGGCAGAGGCACCCACCCACCCCGGGCGCCCACCTGCCACGGGAAGTCGGTGGCCAGCGGCGCGGTGCCCGCCCAGCCGCCGCCGCCCCCACCCGCTCCATCCCCTTCAGCTGAGGTGGTTTTCGAGCAATAGCTTCCCATGTGGGGAGAGTGGTAACCGCGCCAGCGTCGGGAGCCGGCGGGCAAATCGAGCCCTCTGCGCTCCCGTTATGGGGAATGAACAGAAGCCGAATCAATCGGGAAGGCAGACTGTGCGCACAGGCGTGCACACATGCAAAAAGACGCGCGCACAAGCACGCTAGAAGTTTCTCTTGATTAGCGGGGGCTGCAAATAACAGAGGGCATTGGAAAAGAAAGGGAACCCATGAGAGTCTGGCGAGCAAGAAAAATAGAATCAACCTTTCTGTAAAGTGGAAGAGATGGGAAATGCTCTCCCCTTGTACCTTGCTTCTGGGCACCTGTATTAAAGGTTGACACATTCTTCATACAAAAAGTAGTCAACATCCTATAGCCTTCCATTGCTGGTAGGCAGTAGCATGAACAGTTCAGGGACATTTCCAGTTGCAGCTAACCATGAGGAGTTAATTTTAGAAAGAAAACTAGATTCGCTTTCTCCATGCTAATCAAAACACCATATCCTTGCTTTCAGGGTTTGAAAATACATTTATCTTGCTGTTCTGACAGCAGAGGAAAATGGCATATACTGTACTGTATTTTGATATCTCTGTTCTGATACATACCTGAATTCCTCTTGTATTTCAAAATCTATAAAGATTCTACGCTCTTCTTGTCATCCTTCTCCGTTTCAAAATCTATAAAGATTCTACGCTCTTGTCATCCTTCTCCAGTCTGTGACTGCATTATATCCACAGTGCTTCTGCAGATAAAATTGTTCCACATAGTCCTGGGAACCTGCCTGGAATTGTCGCTTCTCTGAACTGTGGTGCTTCCTGTACGATCTTTCCCATAAATTTAATATAATGGGGGAAGAGATGATTCCATTTACTTTCACAGTTCCACCAGATTTCTGAGGTTGTATATTTCTTCAATAGCAGGCATTCTAATTTTTACCTGACTTTGATACTTGAGGAAGTACACCTATGCTTTTGGATATAGGCATCTATTTTATGTAATTTTTGCCTCTAATGCTTGGCTTTAATTGATTCCAGATAATATTCCTGTGCTCATTGATTGTGTTTCGTTCAAGATCACAGAACATTTAAGCAAAGAAAAGCATCATCCTGGTACCAGACATTTTCAGGACCAGCCCACGTTCTCCTCTAAAACCTTTCTTATTTTGAATACAATAAAGTAGACAACTTCCCCTTGTGCCTCATCTTTTCCCCTGAAATAAACTCAGCCACAAACTGTGATACATAAAGTTGTGTGAGTAACTAACAAAACTGATGCCACAGAAATTCTGCATTTCATTATGCTGTCTAATACTCATGTACTTGAAAATAGAAAATAATGTTTTGCATTTGCATATTTCCAGCAGCCCAAGCATGTCACATCCATTAATAATCCTTACATCAGTCTTTTAAGATGGACCTCACAGCTGTAGAATATTTTTTGCCTTTCACATCTACCACTTCACTGAGAAACGTTTTACTTCAAAAACATGAAATATTTCTAGCTCTAAAATGACTTCCTAAATGTGTCTTTTCACTTTGGAGGGACTGGTCTGGTAGTGCAGTTTGATCATTTTCATAGATAGAAATGGAATTGCAGTAAGTTAAACTCTCACTATGGTGTTTCTTTATCACTTTATCATTCATGACAATGCGGGAGGGTAGCTAGGATGAAGTGCAAGTAGAATTATGAGGACAAGATAGATGGGCAAGGCAAAAGAAAAATACCTGAAAACATTAATAAACATTTTTATACTTCCAGCACACTGCAAGACCTCAATTCAAATCTACATTCAGCAGTGGAATGAGGTGGACACATTTCTGTCTCTCAATCTAATCTACAGCAGGTTGTTCTGAGGATAAAATGGAAGCCATCCCAACCCTTTTCCTGCCATTCTGAGCTCCTTAAAGGAAGGACAGGATGGCAATAAAAGGCGGCAGTGGTGGGCATGTCTATATCCCATTGTATTTAAAGATTTAGAAGAGTATCAGGGGAACTATATTCAGTTGAGATTCTTGTATTGAGAGAAACCCCTCCTTTCCTCTGCCTCTCCGGAGGAAAAGAAGTGTTCTAGTTTCTGCATCAATAAATAGTCATGCTTTCTTTCCCCCCAATTCTGGTGGTATTTGTGTCTCCGCATCCCTCCTTTCTATGTAATGGCTCTGAAACTACACTTTATCTCCCATCCCAAAGGAAACAAATAATAAGTGAATCAAGGAAGCAGAATAAAAAGCACTTTCAGGGTGTTATAAATAACAGTACTTTTTCAAACAGTAGTCTCCACGAAGGAGGGTTTGAAGATTATGGAGACAGAAGATTGCACACAGCAAATTCAGAACATCTCTTCCTCAGTTTCCTTGTAACATTTGCTTTGTATGCATCATTTGACAATGAGCTTTTTGAGCAGCTGGAGGAGAAAGATTGAGGCTTTGGACATTTATTGGTTCATTCATCTTCCCATCCCCCTTCTTTCATGTTTAATTAGTTGTTCAATCAGGTTCCCAACAGGCTCAGGACAGTTTCTGTTATGTTTAAATCACTGTAGAATAGACAATTTTGTCCTCTTCATTTTCTCTTACCACCCCTACCTCCAGTAAACGTACAGAGCCTCTGTCGTACACTGAATTTTACAGTCCCACTTCATGCATTTGACTCTAGTCCACAAAAGCTTTTCCCATTTGTTTCTGTTCTGGATTCTTTTGTCTTCTGATCTGTTTTAATCTACTGAATTGTTCTGCATTACTTTCTAATTGTTTTACATTGGTTCTACTGTCTGTATCCCACCTGGCAGTTCCAGGTATGGGATGTGACAGAACTGCATGAAAGAGAACATATTGGCTGAAGAAACTTAAAAGACTGGTTCAGATGCCGGACAAAATCATGGCCTAGAATTGCTATGGAATAGCCATGATGATGTCCAACCTCCAGAAATCTATAGAGAAAAAGAAGAAATGCAGATAAAAATAAAACTGTATTTGCGAAGGCTTTCACGGCCGGGATTTAATGGTTGTTGTTTTTCGGGCTCTTTGGCCGTGTTCTGAAGGTTGTTCTTCCTAACGTTTTGTCAGTCTCTGTGGCCGGCATCTTCAGAGGACAGCACTCTGTGCAAGGAAGAACAACCTTCAGAACACTGCCAAAGAGCCCGAAAAACCCACAACAACCAAAAAACAAAACTGTTAGTCCCAAAGCTGCCACAATATTCTTTCGCTTTTGTTTCAACAGATGTTAACATGGCCACTGTTTTGGAAAATGCCAACAACAGAGAAGAGGGGAAAAAAAGGGGGGGGGGAGAAGGCATATAAATGCATTTTGCTACTTTCATTTAACATAGTACAGTACATACTCCTACTGCAGTTGTTGCTGAATTTTCCCTGATCAAATCATATTTCACATACCCACAAGATGTCATCACATGGCTCCGAAGAAATAGGCCATGGGAGGGCATCCTGAAGAAAGCAACCCTGTGTGCTTTTTTCAGTGACATGGCTATCTTAATTTATTTTTGTTGACCTCCGTGTTGATATAGTCTTGTATGTATATAACAAACTTTTCTTATTAGCATTCTGTCAATATAATTATTTTCTCTGAATAGTATGCAGATGAGGAACAATCCCATGTTACAGACAGAAAGAGAGAACAGATGAATGAAAATCTGAATTAAATCCAAGTGCCTCTTGGATTTAAGATAATTGATTTGTTGTCTCCCTATAGACATTTAGAAGCAAAAGAAAGCTGTGCCTACTAGCAACAACTTCTGTTCATTTCCATCCGGTAGTCTTCTCCAGCTCTTTTGGGAATTTTGCTGCTGCCTCTCCCCACTTTAGAAATGACTAGGCCTAACCACGGCAGACTAGCAGAATAGTGTGTGTGTGGTTCTGTGCCAAGTAGGAGTTTCAAGGTAAGTGAGATATTTAAGGAATAGTTTTACCGGTTCCAAACCTTGAGTGAGTTCCCATAACTGAGTGGGGATTCAAACTCTATTCTCCAGAGTTTAGTTTTGATTTTTGAAGAAGCACATTTCTCAAACAGGGAGTAAATTAAAGGTAACAAAATAAAGCAGAGCAGGCAAAACTTCATAATGTTTACAGAGGAACAAACACATTCAGCAACTCTCTAAGTCTGTGCTAGGATTTGTGAAGGGCGAGAACCACAGTATTTCACCATAACACAGCATATGGCAATGAGTTGAGACCAAATAAAGCTGTAATACCAGTTTCTGTCAGACAAAGGGTTACATTCTCCTCGGCTCCAGAATGAGTGCGCTACCATGCCTATGGAGAAATCCTCTGCAGGAAGGTATTTTGGGTATTTATTCCAAATATACATATATGTTATATTAATGTGAACCATTTGCATGTTTCACAATATCAAGCACTATATATGTATTACAAAGAAGCAACTTAACACATTAAAAGAATGGGCCAACTGGTCAAAACTAACCAGTACTTTTACAGTAAATATTCAAAATCATTAAAGAGTAGCCTCAGGTTCTAAGTACATATCAAACTGATACATAGATCACTTACATGAGAAGAAAAAGCCACTCTCACAAATGACCTAATCAACTCATCTCCATTAACACACCAGCTTCTACTCATTTCATGTTCCCATAATCAAGCAAATCATCTCTTGCTTTTTGTCTTCTTGGAATCATCCCAAGATGATACACCTGTGCTTTCTCAGATCATAATTTATGGAAGGAATTTGTATGTGGTCTGAGATTCAAGCAGGCAATATGTTAGACAGTTAAACTGAATAGATTCTGTGCAAATTTGTTTCCATGAATGTTCTTTTATTCTCTCCCTGTTTTTCCTCCACAGAACATTCTTTATACTTAGGCTTTATGAAGCCATCTCTCTGTCTTAGTCAGGTATTCTCCATGTGGTAAGGTTGCATTCAAATATGGTATTCTCTGGCCTTCAGCAAATTAAACAAAACATTTTCCTTATTATTTCTAGAGAATTAGGAAAAGGCTCTGTGGTTCAAGATCACACAAAAGCAAGAGTAGTGTGATACCTTTACTAAACCACTAAAAAAAATCACACAAATTGGCAGTTTTCATGGGTAAACCCCACTTTCTCAGGCTATGCACCATAGCGCAGAAAAAAACTGACTTATGATACATACAATGTTTTTCTGCACTATGGTACAGAGCCTCAGGAAGTGGGCTATGCCCATGAAAACTTGCAATTTGTGTGATTTTTTTTAGCGGATCAATAAGTGATCACTTGATTTTGTACTTATTATCTCTAAGGCTAAGCTTAAGAGAAAGATACTTTTAACAAGCATAACAACTTAACAAGATTCAGGCTAGGCTCAGTCAGAGGTCCAAGCCTATAATATTCAATAGGGGGAGGATTTCTATGACTTTTTTTCATTTGCCACCAATGTTTGAGTTGATGATGTTTGAACATGTTTGTGAGTAATTGGGTGAGAAAGGCCAGATTACTCCAAAAATGTTTGAACTTGCTTATGGATTCAAATTTAGTTTGCAGAGAAAATATGAAATGTCATAGAAATCCTCCTTCTAATAATCAATTTCCTTCCAGAAAGGGGAAAAAATGATGCCCTGCCCCCAGTCCCTTACACTTGCTTAGGAGTAAGCCACCCTGAATTTAGAAAGATTACCGTGTGAGTAAATATGCTGGGGTTTTGCAAGCCACTGATACTCCCGAGCTTTCTGAACAATGCCATCCTTTCTAGTTCTCCTTGCTATTTTGGACAGTTTGAGTACTGTGCCTGCACTACACCACATGATTTCTGAAAATGTCCCTGAAAGCTATCAAAAGATGACACGCGATATAAGATTTGGGGGAGAACACGATATTTATTTTTTTAATGTTTCTGTAACAAGTTGAGAAGAACCATGACAGCAAATTTCATTTCTCCAACAGGAGAAACTGTAATTGTGTTCATGTATTTAGAAAAAGCAGGAAAAACAGGCAAACTTGCAAACAGAACTAGCAGCCAAATTTGCATTCCAAATAAACAGATACTTCTATTTAAGGAACACCTTCCAAGAGTTTGCAGTAATTTACTCTCGTCCTTCAGAATTTGTGCTGTGCCATGTCTTTTAAGACAGCCAGGCTTAGGCTATGTTAACAATTTCCACTTGAAATTTGTAATGCATAGTGGTACAAGCCAATCCATCATTCAGTTTTAACAAGATAGTTTTTAATTACATGGCATTCATTTTATTTTATGGTGTTCAGGAAGGCAAAATATGTCTCAGAGAAAGATCATGTTAATCCCTCTTGAAAAGAAGTTTGAAGACACTTCCTATGCATTTTCTCTCTCCAAGAATAAGTTTGCCAGGAAGGCTCCTTGAATATTGATTTGCTTTTGATATTTGTAATGAAAGGCTATTCATTGGTGTTGGTTTACTAATTCAGAACTGAAGACCATTAGAAGAGAGCAGCAGTAACCAGAGAGTTCAGAGGAACATATGCATCCAAGCTAACTCATAGCATGCTATAGTTTATCAATACCTTTCAATTAAGGACATGTCTATATCTTCCACAAACACCATGATGTAAATGGCAGAGCCTTCTTAGCAAACCCAACTATGTAGCCACATAACTGAAAGGGTTTTGATGTACGCACCATCTCACACCTCCCCTGGAGCATTCAAAGTCTCTTAACCACTACTTTATGATATTCATCCCAGCAGGTAAGAATAGTGCTTAGTAAATGTAATATAGTCATAAAGAGATACTGAAGTTCTGGATGTCTCCTATTCCCCTGCATTCATAAGATTTCGTAACACATTGCTCTCATGTGCCAGACTTTCATCTAGTTTCAGAGAAAATCTTCAGTGAAGTGCTTCTGGCTTTATATCAAGCAGCCTTTGCTCTTCTGATCTCGAGTTTTGTTCTTTTTTTTGCCTATGCTGTCTCACAACCTTGGGATTGGATCCAAGCATCATGGGACACTGCTGATTAATTTAAGAGGTGCTGAAATCCACCAAGCCAATATTAATAACATTCTAATTCATTTCCTACCAGTAACAATCACCTATCTGCTCTCCTTGTCCTAAACAGCTCTTTAATGCCTGTTGCTTGCAAGGCTAGACCAAATTTAGAGCTCAGGACAAAGAGCAAGTCTTTCTTCCTGAAACACTTGCTGTAGAAGTCTACGGGCAAGGGTTCACCAGTGTAGATCAGTTCACCTTCCTAGATAAGTTTTACTTTAAGACTTTTCTTCTTTACAACCTATAGTGGTCCTGGCAGAAAGTGTTACAGTAATAAAGACTTGACTTAAAGGAGTGGGGGAAGATAGGTCTGTAAAGGAACAAACATCGATGTTTACATCGATTCTTTAAAACTACCTTCTGTCAAACATCACACCAAAAAGCCTGCTTGAAATACTTCATGGTTTTGAACAACTGGAAGAAACCACATCAAAGCTCCTTTTCCTTTTTTAAATCCTGCATCATTCCCCAAGGCAGGGAAATTCAAAAAGTTTGCAAAACAAAAAGAGTTTTATGAGACACTGTCAAACTACATTAATCCCCAAATAGAGTGCAGAAAGTGGCCATCTATAAAATTTGAGAACACCACTCTCGTGTTATAAAAGCAACCTTTCCATGATTATTACTCCTCTACTAGCTGTAGTCCCTCCCCTCGCCCTCTTCAACTGGGGGATTTGTCTGGTTTGTAAAACTTGCAAATCAGCTTTTTTTTGCTGCATTCATTGCTTGTAATATGATAAACAGAATGAGCATATTTTCTTATCTGGTAACAGTGCAAACCTGGGATAAAAAAAATCTAACATATAGATGTAACCTCCCTTAAAGGGGGAAAATAGTTAGGGAAGTTCATCTAGAAACATTTTTAAAGGTTTGGTTTTAGGAATGGAATAGGAGAAAAACAGCTAATTCTAATAGTCTAAATAAAAACATTATCACAAATGAATAGTGTTTCAAGTAGCCTGATACAGAGACAGTTCATACATTGCTGTGGCTAATTGAATTTAACTTTCTTTTACTAGAACTTTTCTAGGACCTTTTATTTGTGTGGGTGGGGCAAATGATTGATGAAAAGTCTAATAGCTTTTTCATTAAAAAAAAGAAAAGAAAATTAAAATGTATGTTCCTCCTCATTTATATTTTTCAAAAGTTCTCTATACTTTCCTAATTTTAGCCAATATCTTATTGAGCTTACTCAGAGCAGAAAGTCCTCTCAGCTCAGTAACATGGTTTCACAATGCCTGCACAAGTATTCTGGCTGTCTAGTGAAGGGAAGATTTTCTTCACAGAGATATCTGCTTGTACAACAGTGACATTTATGCAAGTGGCACAACCTTGTGTTACTTGACCAGCAGGATCTTCTGTTCAGTGAAAATTCAATACGATATTGGTATTTGCTCTTAATGCTAGTAAGTCACAATATACAAAACTCCAGTGTGTTTGTGAGTGCATTTTGCAGAGTGACTCTGGGAGGTAGTGATTGGCTGCTTTTACACTTTCCCAGAACACTTTGCGAAACCAACGGAGTCATTATCCCGATCAAACGTTGTGTAATAGGGGCCCATGAAGACATCGCCCAAGATCCAGAGAGGGCCACCAGGTGGTGGGACATCCAAGCCTGAAAATCCACTCAGGCAAAGTGTTTGTTCTTGCACAGTGACCTACAAGAGAGAGAGAGAGAAAGAAAAAGAAATGGGAAAAACAGAACACATTGCTGCAGGTCGTTATTTTCTAAAGAACTGTCCCTTTGCAACAGATCAATTTTATTTTAAAAACATTTTCAAGTATCCAGTTTCAAACATTGTTCTAGCAGACAACCTGTGATCAAACTACATTTTATGGATACACTAATTTATAGAATGTTTATACTGTCTCCAGGTCCCCCCACTCCAGGTGGTAGAAGCGATACTCCACTGCAACTTGTTCATGATTAAGTTCTCCCAATACTTACTTCAGATTTCTCAGACAATGTTAAGCTAAGGTCCCAGATTCAACTAACTTGTTCCTTCCCATTTCAAATTCAAGAAATTAGGTTTCCTCCAACCAAGCCATCTTCTCTAAACACTCAGTGTGTGTTTCTGAAGGTCCTATCTATTTTCTCAAACTGGAGAGGATCCAATGAATGGCCCAACCAATCTATCACTGGGCACAGAGCATAGAAAACCAAGATCAAGAATTCTGTGGAAATAAAGTGCTGTGCTGGAAATAAACGGTGGACCATTAGGAGAAAGAGGATGACAGTGAAGCTGGACTTACTTTCAAGGCATACTGATCTGCAGTGAGCTCATAAGACTTCCCTCCTAGGACAAGGGACACAGTGGGAAGGGTAGACAGCTTATCACATTGCAGCATATACTGCAAAAGAAAGGAAGAGAAAAAGAGTAGAGGTATATATATATATATCTGTCATGGATACCAAACATTTTCTACTGAAGAATGCCTAGTGAAAGATACCTGCCTTCTCTACAAAAGAATTACAACATTATTTATACATAAATGAACAATAAACAAGCACACAATAGTAGTTGTAACTCAAGTCTTTATTTTGGACACTGAATGTTTTCCCCACTGACAGTCGTTCTTCCTTTTAGGGTGACTGTTCCAACTACTTGATTGTTCTTAATATCCCTTCCTGTTCTTTTCCAGCTCTGGGTTATCTCCTTTTGAGAGCATAAGTGTACACAATACTCTTAGATTTATGCACACCATGACAGTATTAGTTTTGTTTTCATTTCCTTTTGAAATAATTCATAATATGGGTTTCTTTTTCTTCTGACTCCCATTCCCTTGCTCAGGTAACATTCAACCCTAGGATCTTCCTCTACGTTATCAACTGTTTCTGCTTAAAGACTGAATAGCATTTTGGTGGACAGATTTTATCATCTCAGTGTATCTGGATATAGCTTGAGGAACTACCATTGTTTGAAGAAAGGTGCTTCCTTCAATTGCCACATGGCACCAAAATCCTTGGCAGGCATCATCTAATGAACTGGAACACTGGGACAGATGGAACCACACCAGCTAGGTTTTTTTCCTGTTCTATAGCTATTAGATTTAGTGAATAGTTGATTACAGTAATCTCTCTCGAGCTATGTTCTACAGTAGGAGATTAACTACAGTCTATAAAGTATCTTAGTATGCTCTTCATCCCTATAACATTGCAGCAGTAGGTTAACAGGTGCTTTTTTTAAAGCCACAATACAATGTGATATAATAAAATTGTAAAATCACAGAAAAAAAAATAGAAGTAAAAACAAAACAAAAGAAAAACTACAAAATATCCCCCAAAAGAAAAGAGAAGAGCAAATGAACCAATATAATGCTTTAAAGTGCATGGCTTAGGAAGTTTCAACACAGCACTGAAATGATAGCCAAGTTTCACTGAGAAAGGTATCTTGGGAGACAGGACATCACTGGAGAGACCACCCTCTGCCCAGTTACTGCCTGTAATTGGTGTCCTCAAATCCTCCAGCCAATATGTCCATGCTGGCTGTACCCACTAGGTACCTGCCCAACAGATAACTTTTCTAAGCTTTCCCCTGTCTAATTCCTATAGAACAAGCTCCCCTTCAGCAAAAGAACTTGAAAAGTCTCTTTATGTAAGTCATCTAATAATCAACTAGTCTGGATTAGTAACCAACCTGTCTCCTGGATGGCAGCTCATCTAAATGCATCTGAACTCAAACCAATATATAAATAGTACTTTTATTGGATGAGATCTATTCCCATGGTACAGTATTAGAGCTACCGCTACCCCACCCCTTTCTCTTCAAGGCATTTACCTGTCCTTTAATGATTGGCTTTGCTCCAATGGCTTTCTGGAGCTCTTTAATTTCATCTGTTGGCCCTGTAATAAGAGACGTTCCTGAGTCTATAATAGCTTCACAGCCATCTTTGCACACAGTCAGGCCATTGGCAACCTCAACCCTGTAACAAAAAAGACAATTCATAGATCAGGGGCAAAAAAAATCACACAAAAATACCAGCCCATTAAGTCTTCTGCTGATTAAGTCTTCGTTCATTGGATGAACTAACATGCAAGGTTTGAGAGTGCATTTCGAACTGAGGCAGTGCTTTATTGCAAAGGGACACTAACGAGGATACCTAAGAAGTCGGGCAAAAGGGGGCCAGGAGGAAGCGCATCATGAAAGACCATCATGCAATAATACAAAGACAACCAGGGATATCCACACAGGTTATGGAAGGATCAGGCCTGAACCCTTGAAGAGTTGGTACCAATCAAGTTGACTGTACTTGGCCAGAGACATCAATGGTCTGACATAGTCAGTATGAAGTAGCTTCTTAGGTTCCTAAAAGAATGACCAGTGCTGGCTAGGGTTGATGGGCACAGCAGTCCAGCATATCAGGAAGGGGAGGGTCATCTTATGGCAGTCATCATGGGAGTCAAGCATGAGGGAATTAGAGGGATGTATATCATAAGGTTACAGAACACCCTCCTAGCATGATCAGCTGGAAGCTCCACTGAGGGAAGAAATAGAGATGATAAGGATAATAACAGAGATGAGACTTAGCTATTTCTTTCCTCACTTTTCTGTAAGAATGCAGTATTTACGTACACTCACCACCTGTTGTTTGGTTTTACTCTATTAACCAAATACTGCCATATTATTTTATTTCATTTTAAAACAATTAAAAAATTGGTCTAGTCACCCTTTGTTGCAATACCTTGAGCATCAGTTTCCTTGGATGGGAAATTAGAGCTATGATCCTAAAGTTGCTGCACCCCTTGGCATCTCATTTCTTGGGCACTGAAATGTATATTGAATTTTGCTAGTCTGTGAGCCATTGTTTTGTTTTGCATAGTTGTTGGTAATATTCTTATTATGATTTTAACAGATTCAGTCTCTGTGGCTTGAAATAGTTCTATTAGTATCTATCTAGCCCTGGTGATTTATTTCTTCCTAATGCTTTCAGGGCAGCTTTCACTTCCTAGAACTCCAGGTTCTTCATCGTAGGATTCCTCTTCAAAGGAGTCTGTCATCCTTTTATCTCTTCTACATACAGTATCTCTTCAGTATCCTTCTCTTTGATTTCCTGGATCATCTCTTGTTTTTCTCCTTCCATTGTTCTCCTTTGTTTTTTTTTGCATTGCTTATTGTAACTGTTCTCTTTGTCTCTAAGCAATAGCAACTGAAAAGCTGCATTCAGGGTTCCCATCCTATTTTTTTCACCTTCTACTTTTGTTTCTCATCTGTACTATGCAATTTTAACCCATATGGGTTATTCTTTTTTTCTTTACTACAGGAATTGTCTTTTTCATTTTTCCTCAATAATATCTCTGATTTCAATCCACAGTTCTGGTTCACAATCAATTCAGTTTAGTAATGCAAATCTATTCCTTATGTGAATTTTGTGTTCATCAGGAACATTATTTCAATTATACTCTGGCACTACAATTCTTCCAGTGTTTTTATTTGGCTTTACTCTAATTTTATTAGATATTAATAGTTCAGGATCAGTTCCACAATCTGCTCCTAGTTTTATTTTAGCAGTGGGAATACAGCTTCTCCATCTCCTGCTTCCAATTACATAGTCTATTTGATTTCTATATTGACCATCTGGTGATATCCACATCTACAGTCATCTATTTGGTTCCCTAGATAATGTATTTGCAATAAACCGATTGTTGGCCCTACAGAAATCTATGAGTTGTCCTGTTTCATTTCTCCTACACTAAATTTTCCAACATTTGATTACACCTTATATTCTACTTCTGTATTCCAGTGATTATAAGCATGTCTTGTTTTGGTGTGATAATTTTCTTCTAGATGCTTGCATAAAAGCTTTTAATTTCATTGTCTTTAGTATCTGTAGTTGGAACATAGACGGATAGGTTTTCCATGGAGTCTGATTGATATTATTTGGTAAGATCCTGCATTGTACTGTAGCCTGCACTAAATTTTGCCTCAGTATTAGAACCACTTCATTTCTTCTAAGTTTGGCATTTTCAGAATAGAACATATTTTAGTTGACTGAATATATCCTGTTCCAGGCAACTTTAGTTTACTAACACCAACACTGCAACATTTATATACAGGTACCATTTCTTGCTTTATTGTTTCCAGCTTACCCTGATACATGCTTTTCACATTCCATGGTGCAATTGCATGTGGTGTGCAGCACCAGACTTTCCTTTTCAGTACTGTGCATGTCATGCACTAGACGGACACCCTATTGGCTTTAGTTGAGTTGCATCATTAGCCACAGCACTATTCATACTTGTCTTTTCCCCGCAGGTGACTGAGTGTTTTCTGACCTGGGAGTCACATCTTCCGGTGCTATTTCATTTCATTTTGGACTGTCTCATCATATGGTTTTAATGGTAAGGAAAGTTCAGCAGGAATTTATCAATGACTTTCTGTGCAGTACTAATACCAAGCTAGTTTGAGCATTGCTGGCATTACCCTTTGTATATTTCCCAGCTGAGGAGTAGACTGGCCTGCACAACCTCTACTTGCACCAACAGTAGTGCTGTTTCAATAGTTTCCCTATCTTGTGTTCATTAATTTACATTTGTATTTAAGTGGAGCTTTTAAAAAAGTAGCCATTTTTCAGCCACCCAGGCTTCAACAGCATCTGTTGCTAATGAACGATGGGCAGACATGTACAAGTGAAAACTCCAGGGAAAAAAAGACAACTCACTTATCCATGTGGACCTGCCAGTAAGCTTTGCGAGTAACATTCACCCAGTTGAAATCTCCAGTATAATACTGTGGGTCTGTTCCTCCTAGAAGCAATTCTCCTCCAGGTGATGATGATGGATTTCTATAAGAAATGGTACACAAAGGCAGAAGCAAAATATTAATATAAGGGGTAAGAAAAGTGAAAGAGTCATGACCTCTCACTAATACACTCAAATACCTGTGATCATGGAGGTGAAGGGACTCATATAAAATCCCAAAGGTTGCAGACAACATAGGACAAGGAATAAATCCATAAAACCAGAGCCACTGTTTCCTAAAGACTGGATTTCTATACCTGTACAATGCTAAGCACTCTTACTAATGAAGATGACCGAACAGAACTCAGCTGGTTTATTGCCCAAACAAACATGCATCTGGCTGTAAAGAAAAGTTCATAATTAATCATACCTACTACATTCCTCTGAAAAACACAGAGGAATACAGAGCTATTATTGGAGAAGAATGCAAAAAGGCAATTTCTGTAGTAAGAAACCCTACATGTTATCCACCCCTGATCTGGTAGCCCCAATAAGTTAAACAAACGAACTAGAGTGAAGCCAATAGAATAAATGGGATTCCCTAAGGACTGAAGTAACAATTCCCATTCATACTGTGTGAAGAGTATTTAGGACTAATAGTTGAATTTAGCTTTCCACCAGGCCAGCTTACAGGGTTGCATTATGAGCTTTTTGATCAGGGGTGAATAACATGTAGTGTGCGAGCTGTATGCCCCACCCTCATAGGACCCAACTGTGCATTCTGGTATCCCTACCTCCAAGTAAACTCACAGCCCCCCCCCCCTTTTGACTCAAAATGTCTTCCTGTGCCATCTAGGAGACACAGAGGGCAATTCTGCAGGCATCCCTACATCCCTACACTTGTATTTTTATTTTTAATTAAAAAAAAACTTTTTCTGCTCACTAGGAGAGCAAGGGAAATTCTCAAGTTTTTTTTTTAAATTTTGGTTAACAAACATCTGAGGTGAAGTCACAGGAGCATGGATAGTCCAAATATAATTATGTTGTGCTTGTTCCAAGATCACTAGGTTCTACCACAGAAGCAGGAATAACCAGCCTTGGGAAAAATTATGGACTAACAATAATAATGAGTCAGTTCTTGGGGAAGAGCAGAGCTTTTGCCTTTGGTGTATATGCTATTAAAATTAGCCGGTAGAGCCACAGTTCAAACAACAGAATTTCATTTTCCTGAAACCAGTCTCACCTGTTTAGATAAAAGGAAAATATGTTCTTCTCCAATAGTTCTTGTTCCATCACGTTATCAAAGAAAGGTTGCACTTTCTTCACAGAGATCTTAGGGAATGCCATGCCAAGGATGCCATCAAACTTGGCAGCAATGAATGTGATGCCAGGCTGCCTAACAGCTTCACCAAACAATTGGTTTTTCACCAAGATGTCACCAATCTGAGATCAAAAGCAAAAAGGGAGGAAAACGCAAATCAACCATTTAAATCCACTGTACTGGGATACCAAAGACCCTAGTATTCTGCTAATAAGGTGAAAACAGAATTCAAGGGGGGTTGGCAAAGGACCCTAGAATCTCTCCTGAATGTACCATATTTTTCTGTGTATGAGACTATACTTTTGTCTAAAATCTTTAGACTAAAAATTGAGGGTCATTTTATACATGGAAATAAGCTGAGGAGAGAACAAAAACAAGCAGGGATCAAAGCAGTTGTGCAGCGCTTTGATCCCTTTCCCCCTGCACTTGCTAAGCCCCACTTATTTTTCTTAATTTTGGATTAGAAAAGTGGCAGACGTCTTATACATGGGGGTGTCTTATACACAGAAAAATATGGTATGTCAGGTAAAGGCATACAGAACATGGGTACCTTGAAAGTCAGAGGTAGTGCTGGGTATATGTGAGTTACAGGAAAGGAAGGACAGCACAGATCTATCACAGCTGTCTTTTTTGAAGCCAAGCCACTTCCATCAACACCTCATTATCTTATACTGATTGACAACAGCAATAAAAAATACAAATGCAAAATACAAAAACAAGACACAGAGCCAAATATCTGCTGAAAAGTTTCATAACTTTTCTCAAAGACCCAAAGATGCATACTTGGGGAATTCCCAGACAAAAAGGCACAACATTTAAGCCACACAGCAAAAAACCTTCTTTTAGCTGCTTTAGAAGTACATCTTGCAAAGATGGAAAATTAAGGCCAACTGGTATTGTTCAGATTTCCATTTGAAATTATGGCCAGATAACAAAGTCACATAATTGAATTCTAAAATGTTGTTTGATAATAATATCTCTTTCTTCTGACCTCCTGTCTGTCATTGTTGAAAGGATAAGACTTACGTAGCCCCCCAAGGCCATTTTAACAACAACAATGAACAACCTTCTCCATGTTTTAAAAAGACGAAAATGAGAAATGCTGCTTCTGGAACCATTGAGGAGCAATGATTCTCAGGATGTATCCTCCACTTTGTTCTAACAGAAAATTTAGACACACTACATATATTTTCACCTTTCATCCCCCAAAACCTATTACTGATACAGTGGTGCCCCGCATAGCGACGATAATCCGTGCAGCAAAAATTGCTGCAAAGCGATTTAGTCGCTATGCGATTTTTAAAAGCCCATAGGAATGCATTGAAACCCCTTCAATGTGTTCCTATGGGCTTAAAACTCACCTTAAAGATAAAATTCTCCATACGGCCGCCATTTTTGCTGCCCGGTAAGCGAGAAATCAGTGCGAAAACGCAGCGGGTGCCCATTTTGTTTACCCAGCGGCCATTTTGGAACCACCGATCAGCTGTTAAAAAATCATTGCTTTGCGATGATCGGTAAGCGAAACAGGGTACCTACCGATCATCGCAAAGCGATTTTTCCCCATAGGGAACACCGCAATGCGATCGCAAAATCTTCGTCGCTATGTGGTTTCATTGTTAAACGGGGCGGCCGTTAAATGAGGCACCACTGTACTTGGACATTCTGGTCATTTACACTTTTCTGTGGAGAGGTTAGTTAAACTCTTGGGAGGCTTCTGGGGCTGGAAAAATGGACCAAGGACACCAGAAGCTTATCTACCTCCGTTTGAAGAGAAAGTTCCACAATCTGGAACACCTGTGAAGATGTCCACTGTACTGTAGTATATTTCTCTGCAATCACGTGATACATGGAGAAACAGCTCCAGCCAAGCTCCAATCAACGCCCAAGGGTTTCTCCCTTTTGGAGCCAGGCTGGAGCGATTCATTGGCAGATGGAAGGGAGACTTCACGTGACCTTTTCTGGTGCAATCAGGTTCACACATTTGCCACCATCTGATCACACTCAAAGTGACGAGTCATTTTAGAAAAAAGATCCACACATATACTGCAATTGTGCCCTGCAGAGGGAACTGTAGTAATTTATGTTTCAATATCCACACCACTTGATCTCAATCATTTCCCCCTCCAAGGAATGAAATGTCCTGAGGTACATGTCCAGATGAAGGCACTTCTGAGACCATGCTCAGTACCATCTAAGTTGTTTATGTCATTTGGTCTAGTCACTTCCTTCAACGGTTAATTTAATTGGATAGTGACAGTTTCACTTACTTCATTTTGTAACTTATATTCAGCATCTACAAAGGAAATGAAAAGCTACTCAATAAAGGCTTAATTGCAAATACTATAGGGATGGCAAGGTGTGAGATTGCTAAAAGACAGAAAAACACCCAAGATATTTCATTACAGACATTTTTGAATAGGTTATGGCAAATGCTGTTGATGGAGAAATTGACTAATAAGATCAGAATATACAGAGGAGAAATAAAGCAATTTTTCAAAACTTGGAAACCTTTATTAAAATACACCAATGAACGAAATGAGAAGTCACATGATTTAGGAAATAATGTAGATCGCTCAATTTGTTGGTCAGTAATTTTCTAGGATGGAATGGGGATTTGAGATTAAGTGTAATTTGTTAAATGGCAGGAATAGCTGGTGCTTAGAGTGTTAAAATATTTCGCAAGTAAGAAGAATAGTTATTTGTATAACTAAGTGAGGGGAAGTCAAGCAAAAAAGCATACAGGGTGCTGAAATCTCATTGCTCTACTGAATCAGCATGGAAGTGTTCCTCAACATTTCCCTTAAAACTTATGAGATTTCAATGTACAGTATTTTCCCTACAAGGTTTTCTAAAGAATAGTCTTCTCTAAGTCAGGAAGACTACAAGAATGTATTAACAAAAGGAAGCAGCATTGCTTCTTGATAGGCTTCGGGAATCACAACTTACGGTCATGGATAACACAAACTACAGGGCTGTTACAAAAGCTTTCTATGTTTACAAATAGAAAATTAAAACATGACATGAGGGACTGGAAAAAGACAAAAGGAAACACCCAACTGCTGGACAAAGAGCTACTGAAGTCTACAGCACATGGCACCTCTCCAAGGTGGCTTTTGGTCTGGGAAAAACAACATCAGAGTGCTTTATTAAATCTAGGCCTTAAACACACTTCAGTAGTTTTTGTTTTTTTAGGCACACAACTTAAAAAAGGATATACGTGGCTACTATTGCTGTAATAGCTATGTACCCTTTAAAACACGTCTGTATGTGTTCTTTGAACTGCAATGAAGCAAATTTAAGGAAGTTTTTTTTTCACTAAAAAGTCAGGATTTCAATTGCTTGGATAAGTCAATGCTGGTAGTATACCAACCGTTACAGTGTCTTGGCTGAGATATCCTGACAGGCTCCCAGTACCATAATGGATAGCAAAGTCTGTACCGTTTTTCACATATGTGCTCGACTTGGATGAATCATATTTGTGATGCAGTACTGTAGGAAGAAGACAACAGAAAGCACTTAAGTTCCATCTGTGCACATACTTTGTGCTTTTTAAACAAATACCAGAAGACACAGCTTCCGGTGTTGACAACAAAATAGGGTACATGAGGTGATGCAGAACACCTTCATTCCAACCTTTCAAGGAATATAAGAGCCAGGTTTGTAGCATTTATTCATCTGAATGTGGTGCAATGTTTACCAAACCAAGTGCAGGTCTTCTTGTTTCAAGTGCCGTCTGCTGCCAAGTATCATTTTAATTCCGTTTGAACCAGTGGGACTTCATGAGTAGGGCAAAAGGACTACTGGCATGCATCTCCTTGCCTGGAAACCTGAACAGCAGAATGCTTTCTAAAGCTCTTCCAACATATGGTGAATTAAGTGAAGAGATCCAATTTGGCTGCTAAATTGGATTTGGAAAGAGTATTTTGAGATTCAAGTACACCTGGCAGGTTCTTTTCTCAATGGTGCTCAAGACTTGAGAAGGTAGGAGATACAGTACATATCGAACACACATATTTTTGAAGAGAGCAGGAGGTAGTTCTTGACTACCTGTGACATACACTACTCATTTCATCATATTCACCTTTTGTCAAAAAGGTTCTGAAACACTACAGGTGCAAAAAATAGGCTACGTGTATATATAGAGAGAGCACAGAGTTCTGACTCCTGTCCTCTGAAGATGCCGGCCACAGAGAATGGCGAAAAGTTAGGAAGAATAACCTTCAGAACACGGCCAAAGAACCTGAAAAACCCACAACAACCATCAGATCCTGGCTGTGAAAGCCTTCGAGAAAATATAGGTGTATATACTTTGATAAGAACATCTTTTAAATCAACTTCAATCCTCTAAGAAAACTTTCATTGCTCTTCAGCATGAGGCAAAGATGACCAACTTAAGCCACAGACTAATTATGCTTGGAAACATGCAAAGAGGATCCTGGAGGCACAAAAAAGTCACAAATATGATTGATGGACTCTTCCCCCACCTTTAAAAAATTTCAGAAGTGTACATTGGCTTAATGTAATGCATTGTCCCATTAATATTCACTTTGGGCTATTAGAATTTTTGTTCACTGATTTGCTCATAGGAAATTACTTGGGTTCCAACATGTTTAAACACTTCAGCACACAAGCAAAGGCTGCTCCCTTTGTGGTGCACTAAACTGCAAGGGATAAGTGACTACTGAAGATTAGAGAGTCCCCAGTCAGATTCCTTCCAGATATATTGAACTACAACTCCCATCATTCCCATCAAGAATGATAAGAGGTTGGATGTATTAAAAGGATAGAGACACTGTGTGTTTAAGGGAAAGAATCACACCAGGCCCACTTCCCAGGGTGCCATCTTACGTGTCTGGAGTAACTGTGCAAAAGTGACAATGAGTGGAGACATTGCCGTATAAACCATGTAATTCTACCTAAAGAAATAACTTACAGCACGCAATATCCAGCAGGTGACAATGGACGGAGGGCACCCAGAGGTTGGATGATCCAGTGTCAAAGACCACAGTAAATTTCTGTGGTGGTGTCCCAATGCCAATCTCTCCGTAATACTGTGCCTGGAGAAAAGAGAGATGCAAAGATGGAAAGGTAAATACTTTGGCGGTAAGAGAAGCCCAGCATGAAGTGAACACAGAATCAACAAATGCTCTATCTTCATGGCACCACACTGTCAACTATGGTGACCCTTAAGCCAGCAAATAAATTATAGTGGAAAAAAAAGCTAATGCTACAAATAAGAAGTTCATCTAATTTATCCCCACAACACTAGGGTGGGCCAGGGTGGTGTGCAGCCTAGAGTGATAGATCAGGACCAGAGAGATCCGGGTTCAAATCCCCACTTACCTATCAACACTCACACACTGGGTGACTCTGGAACAATCACTTTCTTACACAGTCACCCAGCCTGGTTTACCTCCAAGGATTTTTTTAAAAAAGGCTGAAATTGTTTGGTTGAGGGCATAGGAAGCATAAGTACATGTGGGGTTCTTGGAGGAAAGGCAAAAAATTAAAACAAGAAAAAGTGAGCCGGCTGTGTAAAGATCTGAGGAGGCAAGGCTCACTTAGAGGCAAGCACCATAGAAAATAGAAACAACCCTCACCAAAAATAGCAGTCCGTCAACAAAAGAATGTGAGTCAGTTTTATGAGATACAGTGTGCTTATTCATTTAGTGCTTTGGCACCTAGGTAGCCTGTTCTGCCAAGATGTCCAAGTCCCAATCTGTGGTTCTAAGTAAAGGTGAGGGGCAGAGAAAATAGCAAGTGAAAGCCCTCCCACTCCCCATCCTGTGTTCTCAGCTTCTTTTAAGAGTCAGTCTTAAATCTAATTAATCCTCCCATCCTCTGATGGTGTGCTTTACTTCAAAGAGATGAGAATTCATTCCTCAATAGGCCTCCTTGAAATTTTACCACGAGTCAGTCTTAAATCTAATTAATCCTCCCATCTTGTGATGGTGTGCTTTACTTCAAGGAGATGAGAATTCATTCCTCAAGAATAGGCCTCCTTGAAAAGTTACCAACAGAAGTCTACGCAGGCCCAATCAGCACTTAATTGTGGAAAGGTAACAATACACATTTTTTTACAGATTAGCAAACCAAAGTGACCATTATTCCTTGCAATGACTTTGTGATATGTTGTATGCAGCTCTGGTTGCAAACGTATTGCACAATTTATTATGCCTCTCAGTGAGATTCACTTCAGAGTAAACACTCAGCCACCCAGAGTCAAGGGACCCCAATCAGCAGCATTCTTCCACAGCAACAATTTTCTTCCCCCCCCGCCGCATCATAAAGGCATGAAAGACCACCATTAACCTATGTGACAAGAAGGCAATAATAATCTACTGCAGGGGTGAGCAACATGTGCCTCTCCAGAGGTCTGCTGAATTATAAATTTGATCAGCATAACCACTGTTGAATTATGGTAGGAGGCGCATTCCATCAATATCTGGAGCATCCCATACATCCTGTTTACTGGGATATCGCCTACATCTGCTCCTCGCTGCCACTGATTTCAGACACCAAGAATAAGGCATATATCCTTCTGCATTAGTTTAACCTTGTATTCTCTTTCTTGGTGCCCGCAGAATGCATGACAGAACATCGACAACAGGCTCACATTTTCAGAGAGAATGGTTTGCTAGTTAACAATATGTTTTAATAAGTTTTTGCATTTAAAGTGCAAGAGGCCTTTCTTCAGCATTGTGCCACCATATATTGCACCTCCTTCCTTATTATCCCCTTGGAAATATGTATGGAGTTGAGCCAGTGTTCCTACTTAAAAAGCAAAGAAACTCTAGATCTGCACCAACGTTTATACAGAGCTCCGACTCCCCAAACCAAATAGCCCATTACAATGTGTCTGTGGGCCTGTCTAATTTCCTTTGGAATGCGGATGTGGCATAGTAGATGGGAGGGTGTGATTGTCAAGACTTTATTTAAACTCAGAAACATAGAAGAGTTCATCCCTGCACCCCAGTGTTCAGACTTACTGACTCAACAAACTTTCACGCAAAACTCAATTTTGCTTGCAGTTGAGAGTTAAGCCTCACTTGGCTTGAACTCCAATCCGTTTGCCAATACAGTATTGACAATTGGAGAGAGCAGAGAGGAGATCTGCAACACATCAGAGGCAGAACCATTTCTTCCCAGAGGTCCAGTGGACAACAGGAAAAGAAAACACTCTACAGCATTTGTACGTGCAATATCCATTGGGGTGCGTGTTCTCTCACTCCGGCCAACTGCCCCATCTAAGTCAGGGTCTCTTTTTCCCTGGGCAAACTACCCGGGTACCATAGCTAGCATGGATGCTAGAAGTATATGCTCATGCAAAAATTATTACACAAGCAGCAGAAATGATTGTTTTCAAGAGCTTACAAAAATTAAAGATACTGATACTTGCTTTTCCTCTACTGGTCTCTAAAATTAAAACCACTACAGCATTAGGGCAGGGTGTGTTCTCTAACCAAGCACTTGTACAACAGTCTCTGTAAGCCAAAGATACTATACTGGTTATCACACTGAAAGTACTGCAGCCATTCACAGCAAACAAGTTAAATTAACTAACCCAGGGGTGGGCACACTTTTGATTAGCATGATCAACCTTTTTTCACAAACGCCACAATCCAGTTACTGGAGCTGGTACAAGAACAATGCATTTAGAATTAAAGAATTCTGGGTGTGGGATTTTGCTCCATATACCAGAACTGAACAGAGCTTCCACAGAAAAACATATTCCTGGCTACCCCATGTTTTGTTCATTTCAGCAGTCTAAGTAAGGGCAGGAAGGGAAGTAAAATGGTTGCTTTTATTCTAAAGCAGTGGAAGTCAGAAATGCCAAATATCTGGTAGTCATTAGGACAGATTTCAGTAGCTTCCTTTTTTTTTTTTTGGAGGAGCAAGAAGTTATTGGGAGCATTCATCTGTACTCCAGGTATTTACATGTGGGAGGCATAATATGTTAACAGAAAATGGAATAGAGATTATTCAAAACTAGGTCAGATGTTGCACGGGTGAAAGATGGGTAACGTGGACCATCTGTTTAACAAACTATTTATAAAAATGAATATTTTTCCATACTTAATGTAGGAAGTTTTATTGTAATGAACAATTGGGCAATATTAAACAAAACGATGGCTATAACCTAAAAATGATGAAGCAGAAGCTGATGATCAAAATTTCAAAAAAGAACCATAGAATTTTAGCGCTGAAAGGAAACCCAATAGTCATTGAGGCCCATCTCTCGCAAAAGCAGGAAATATACATCTAAAGCTTATTTGACGGGTGGCCTTTGTTTAAAAATCTCCAATGAAGAAGAATCCACAACCACCTGAGGAAGTCCATTCCATTATAATATACTGGGCTTTTTTCTGCCTAAATGTTGAACTTTACATTTTTTTCCTTATAATACTCATTTGGTTTATTTTTGTCCAAATTTCTATCCTGTTTAGGTTGTCTTGAACTCTGTGTTTTCTGAAGGATTAGCCAGCACTCACTGTGTGGCATCATCTATAAATTTGAAGAACATTCCCTTGACATTCTTATCCAAGTCATTTATAATGGTGCTGAACCACAGTGGGCTCATGGCAAAACTTCTCACTCCTTTCTATGACAAGGAAGCATAAGTGAATACTCTTTAGATACAATCCATCAAGCAGATACTAATCCACCTACTAGTACTGTATCTTCATCTATCTCACTTTTATATCCAGCATAGTGGAAAGAACACTGACCTTCTTAAAAGCCTTGTTTAAAACAAGATGTACTATATCCACAGCATTTCCTGCATCTACCAAGCTTGTGACTCTTTCGAACAGAGTGATTTGTTTTTGAGAAACCCATGCTGAATCTTAGAAATCACAATATTCTTTTTCTAAGTGCTTACAGATTGACTGTTTAAAGTTATCTTTTAGAACCTTTCCTGGTCCTGATGTCAAGAACATGTATGGGCTCTCTCAGTTCCATCCACACCTCAATTTCACATTTTGGGAAATGGGCCGCTTTTGCTTGGACTGATTCAGAATTCATCTGTCTCAGTTCAAGTCACAACCTGAGTCCAGATTTAGAAATCCAGAAGTCTACTCTTCCCAAAGACTATCATGGGAAACATTAAAACCGTAATGACTAGTCCTCTCTTGGCAGAATTAGATGAAATTGGAAGGCTTATTTATTAACCCTTCAAGAGGTGATTATGCTTAACAAATTACAGACCTAGTGTCAGGGCTGTTTTAGACCTAGTATACAAGCAAGAGGGACGTGGTGGCGCTGCAGGTTAAACTGCAAAGCCTCTGGGTTGCAAGGTCAAAAGGTCAGCAGTTCGAATCCACATGACTGAGTGAGCTCCTGTCACTTGTCCCAGCTCGTGCCAACCTAGCAGTTCCAAAGCATGTAAAATGCAAGTAGATAAATAGGTACCACCACGGTGGGAAGGTAACGGTATTCAGTGTCTAGTCGCGCTGGCCATGTGACCACAGAAACTGTCTACAGACAAACGCTGGCTCTATGGCTTGGAAATGGGGATGAGCACCACCCCCTAGAGTCAGACACGACTGGGCAATTTGTCAAGGGGAACCTTTACTACACAAGCAAGAAATCAAGTGGTTATTACGAACAGAAATTAAGACACTCTTCAACTTGGACAATCAGGGAATGGTCTACATAGTAAGAATAAGTTCTTCTCCCATTTATTGAATGATTCAAGATGGGTTCTATTTGATGTTCTGTTATTTTATTCACATATAAAAAAAACTCAAGTGAACACATGTCCTTGATGACCCACTTCCCTACTGTTTGTGTATATACACCATCTCAGTATAAATCATCCGTGAATGCAAAATCAACTGGTATACTTAAACAGGAAGGGAGGCAGTGATGGCCTGTTTCATTCTCTTCCAATGCACATGCTGACTGCTGAAAAAGAAGGGACAGGAAAGGGAGAGAGAACAATTTCGAGATGGAAAGAGCTGTTCATTACCAGGTTACTGGCACTGACATTTAACAGAAGAATCAGAAAAGGACATCACACCCTTCCATTTGGAAATAGCACAAAAGCAGCAACAAT